TCTAATTCAATAATTTTTATTTTATTATCTTAATTAATGTTTTTAATTGATTATAAAACTATATATATATATATCATACTCACAGATGTCGCCGTTCCCCTTGCCTCATGGCGAACCCTATCTTTTTGCTACATGGATCTCCCATCTGCTACGCGGATCTCTCTCGCGTTTCTATTTCCCTGCTTCGTCTTCGTCGACGTTGGTGTTCGCGTCGTTGCGCTGTTGTTGTGCTTTCTAGCTGCAGGCCCGCGTCTTCGCATTTCTTTCCAGACGATGAGGCAGGCTCTAGTCATCACATTTCTTTCAAGATGATGTCCTTGTCTGTCCACAACACCTCCTTCGCAGTCCTTGCATCGTCTCGGTCTGGAAGAAGAGTTGCTGCTCTGCTCGCAAAGTCGCCACTGCGTTCTTGTCTGCCGCTCTCGCTCCTCTTTTGTGATATTTCCTCACAAAGTCGCCAAGGTGATGGCCTCAGTACGCCGCCACTCTTGCCGGTGATGGCCTCAGTACGCCGCCACTCTTGCCAAGGTGATGGCCTCAGTACGCCGCTCCCGCCGCTCTTTCGAATATGTTTCAACAACGTTACCACGATACTTTTGCTCTTGGCGTTGAAACCGAATTTCTCAAAAAACATCCCGTAAAAACGACAAACCTGCAATCTTTCTCACAGAGGCCGAGATCTCCACCCTAGTTGCACCCTGCTGACTATTCTTAGTAGGTAAGTTTCTTTATGGAAATTCTAAACTTGAGCTAATTAGAAAGGATTTTGAGCAAATGAAGCTGAAAGAGGTTGGAAGATTAGTAAATTGAATGGGCGGCACATTCTCATTCAATTATCAAATGATGAAGACTACGCCCTTTTGTTTGCGAGAAGACTCATTCGAATAGACAACCAAGTGATGAAGGTTTTAAAATGGACAGCGGATTTTGACCCTCGTACTGAACCTCCTACCATTCCTGATAGACTGCGCTTCCCAGGTTTGAAGGTCCACTTTACGATCAAGAGCTCCTCTTCGCTTTAGCGATGATATACGGTAAATCTCTCAAAACTGATACACCTACAGTGAATCTGACTCGACCTTTTGAAGCCATAATTTTAATAGAACGGGATATTACTTTACATTTTTTGGGAGAGATATGAATTGACACACAACATCAGGAATTTTGGCAGCAAATAGAACTTGAACAGATACCTCTTTATTGCATTCACTGTTGTATGTTTGGACACTATCTTTCTCAATGTTATTAGTTGCATCTGAATCTAAAACCTCCAAGTAAAAATGTTGTTGGATCTGCCTCACTTCATACCTGTCCCTCTTCTGCTCCCGAGTGCATTCCACAGACTATTGAAACATTGGTTGACACGATGCCACCTCTCCCTCCCACTACCGGAGACAATAATATTTCTGTTCTTCCGACTGATATATTGACAGATAGTTTACTTGGGCATCCTACAGTCTCTATCACTGTTGAAAATAATATTGCACGATCCTTACCTCCAAAGGATATTCTTCGGTCCGATAATCAGGATAATATCACAGTTCCACATCCTCAGGAAGCATCAGGTGCTGAGGAGACATGTTTACCATCTCTTCAGAATGAAAATGTTGTTACTGTTAGTCAGGAGCTGGTGGCTCATCCTCTTCTACATGCCCGACAATCTGTTGACCACACTGTTCAGATGAGCCAGGTTTCAGATGAGGAATGACAGATATACACATCTAGGAAGAAAAAAAAGAATGGAGACAACCCAACTTGGGAACTTAATAGATGATACTTTAGTAACTTCGGGTAATGGCACGACACTCAGCAATTTGTTAGTTGGCTCCTAGAACAGAACCAGAGGCAGAGGCAGGACCAAGCTGGCTAGTTCCTAGCAACTTATTTTCTGCGAGTTTTGAATTTTAGAGTTTTATCTGTCTTATCAATTTCAGGATACTAGTGTCTGTGTATCGTATGGGTAAGGCGCCTTTATTGGGTCCTCTTATACAATCTTTATGTAACTTTTCAATTTGAATAAAATTAGCTCTTGGGTGTTAAAATATATATTGTTATGAAAAAGCCAAGGGCTGATATATTAAAGATAAAGATACAGATAGGTTTGTATGGGTTGGCCTAAACACCCAACCCACACATTACAACACACACCAAAAAATGTGAAAGATGAGTACATATAGAAATAAAAATAAACCCAAAAACCACCTCGACACTGAAAAAGTGTGAGTCATCCCAATCTAGTCTTGCCTCTGGCTCTAGTTCTCGGTAGGGATCCAGCTAGCAGATTGGAAAGGTGTTGACCACTACTCGTAGTAACCAAAGTATCATCCATAAGACACTTGAGCTCTAGTAGATCTTAATTCTTCTTTTTCCTCCTGGAAGTGTAAACCTGTCATTCCTCCTCCGAAGAATCCGGCTGATGGAGTAGAGCTGAAGCAGAAGAATTACCAACAGTAATACCCACAATAAGTTCTACAATATGTGAAGTATGAGTTGTCGCTACACACACCGGATACACCGGATACTTCTTGAAGAAGTGGAGCTGCGAGGCTCTCCTGATTATCAGTCTGAACACTATCATTTATATGTAATAGTCCATCAGTATTGTTTTGTATGGAGTTTGTAGGTGTTAGCATCGCATCACTCGCAGTAACAGTAATAGCAGTGTCATGGGGGGTCCTCAGGTGCAACAGACACTTCATGTCCGGTAGTATCCTCCTCAGGTGAACCTAAAATGTCCACAACAGTGGGGTTAGACCCATTCTTATTCACTTGAACCTTAGATTTCAAATTAGGATGAAATTTGTGGTATTTAGCAAGGATATGACCAAACATCTTACAGTGAGTACAATATGGAGGTGTTTGTGTTTCATGACAATTTGTTGCCAATAACCATTATAGATTGTGCCCAACCAGACTTCAGTAATATCAGGTAAAGTAATATCCCTTTCCACAAGTATTCTAGCCACCGAGGGTCTGGTTAGATTGAAAGTAGGCAGATCTAGTTTCAAAGAATCCCCAAGGATAACCCCAATAGAGTAGAGAACCTGATGGTGAAAAAAATGCAGCTTGAGACCAAGTAAACTAAATCATACCGGTACAGTGAGAGTTTCATAATTTGGGTCAAAATTAGGAGACAACTTGAGTAACTTCATTGATTTCTATTCGATATTAAGATATTTCTTGGAAAAAATTCTGGTATAGTCTTCAGCCACTGTTAGTTGGATCAACACATGTTTTCTACCCATGAGTCTCACTTTTCACTTGCCTACTAACTTAAGATTATCAATACTCTTTCTAATAACATCCATAAGAGGGTGTCCCCACTGAAGTTTTCCAATAAGAGCAAACTTGAATTTTTCCGTCAGGGTAGAAATTTCTGATTCTACGAAAAAGATTGTTGTTTTTCCACCTTTCCTATTTCCCTTCTTAATAAAAGGACAATCATCTGTATTCTCACGAGATTCCTTATAACTTGAGGGGAAACTCACTACAGACTTCACCTGAGGGTTACCTATCACGTGGACAAAGGAGACTTTGTCCGGTTCAACAAAACAAGGAGGCGCCATCAGAGCAAGGAGAGCTGTCGGAGTTAAGCTACAGCTTGCTGCGGTAGGAAAAATAGTGAACCTCTGTCGCAGACCGAGCACGACGTGACGAGCACGAGAGCCTAGCAAACGCAAACGCGTCGTCCACGAGACGCATAGAACACTTGAGACTAAGCAATCCATAAATGCTAATTTGGCTGCCAAGATGTTACAACTCAAAGCTCCCTGAAAATGGCATTTTGGGCATCAAGATTAATGGTTATGAAAAAAAAAAATCTTAATTGAGCGTATCTCCACTCTCATAACCATTCTATACCAAATTAAATTCACACCTAAACACAAAAATTGAGCCTAGGCAAAACTTTTAATTGTACAGTCATGAGCAGGATGGACAATTAACTATTAGGCAAGCACTAACGGTAACTGTCGACCCTAGATCCATCTAAACCCAAATCGAATATTAGAAAAAATTAGATAAAAAAAATATTCTACCTCAAGGGAAGTAGTGGGTTTTACTAAGCAATCCCTAAACTTTACATTGGAGAGAGCTCCGTGTATTGGGTATGAGTTCATCCATTATTTAAGGGAATAAGGAGAGTAGGCAACAAGCTTGGTTACACCAATAATGGGCAAGTTCATCCATTATAATAACAAGAAAAGGACAGAAGAATTCTTCCTTAGAACAAGCTTAACCAACTAGTTGGCATCATTTGAATCATTACATGGCTTCTAGTAACATAAATTGTTGATAGAAAATCCTAACCTCGGACCACAAAAATTCCAAAACATAGCAGAGGATTTTTAACGATGACAAAAACCTAAATATTATTAGCGGCGAATTCCCAAAAATAACATACCAGAAACTTCAACTTTTTGGAAGCTTGCTAGCATGCATAAATGTCAAATCTTCCAAATAATAATCTTCTTAAATCAATCTTTTATAATTATATGCTTCTCCAATGGCTAAGATTCAATTCAAGTTGCAATCAACTCCCATGATGTTGCGATCAATTCCAACGATGTAGAACAAGTTTACATGAGGAACCAATGTTGTATATAAAGTGAACTCTCTCTCTCTCTCTGTGTCTCTCTCTCTCATTCACACACACACACTCACACACAATCAAAAAGGTGTAGATACTTCAATAAATGCTCAAGGAATGGATTAGAAAAAAATAATGCATGTTAACAAAATGAACGATGCTTTGAATTTACTAAGCAGTTAAGTTGCAAACAAGTAAAATGGTCATAATGACAGCTTTTTTTATTAGATGATTTAAATTTTAATAAACTTTCTTGTTTTTCTTTACAAGAAAAATAAAAGATCCGTAAGTGGCTATCACAGTCCATCTTGCATTCAAGCATGAAAGGAGCATAGCTTTCGAAAGATCATTAATTTTTGGATCATCAAAAGATAAAAAGCAGAAAACAATCGTAAGATAAAAACACATGAACCTCTCGTCCTTCTCTTTCAGCATTTTTGCAGTTGCATGTGCAATCATCGTCGAAATCCACTTGTTTACTGCAATGAAAGTGGTTTAATTATCACATAGGAATCGTGCCTTCATATTTATTTACAGGGCATTTACTTACATACTGCACAATTATTACATATTCACATATATAACCCTAAACTATGATATTTACATACATGTCATTCAAATCTTTAACATTACATAAAAACATCAATTTTACTAAATTTTTAAAAGTGAAATACACCTTTTAATGCATAAACTTTTAACACCAAAGTGTTATTGATACCAGAGTTAACCCAAATAATCAATAGGAAATCAAATGCTATTACTGAAAGCAAATATGCGATTACAACCCAAACACACTTAAAAGGGAAAACGACACGAAGATGCCCACATAAGTGGATCTAGGGGTGGGGGTGATGGTCGTTAGGGGTTTGGAAACACGGCGGCTGGCGAGGCTAGACTGTGGGGTAACAACGACACAACAATTGGTGCCTTACTGTCCTGAGCGACAACAGGCAGGAGAGAGCGGAAACAGCAAGAAGACAGCAAGACAAGCGGCGACGCCTTGATGTTTGGGGGCAGCAAGGAACGACAGGTCAAACAACAGCAGTTTGCTGTTTGGGAGTGGAGCAGCAAGGTAGAGAAGTTTTGGGACAGCTGGGAGGGGGTTGACAGGTTGAACGAATGACGGGGAGATCAAGCTAACGACAATAGCAAGTGGAGGAGATGGATGGGGGTGCTGGAATGGGCGATCATAGCAACTCCTCATTGTCTAGGATGGCAGCAGCAAGCCAAAACGTGAATGGCAATGGCTGGAAGATAGACAAACTGCAGGGAAAAAGTAGCAAGCAGCTGTTCGGAGGTGGTTGCAGCAATGGAAGACGACCAAAAGCAATGTGGAGAGGATACGGAAGGGGATAAAGAAAATAATCATCTTCTCAGAGTGAGATACTGTCGAAACACCCCTCAAACCCTCGAATACAGCCCCTCGCAGGGAAAAGAGAGACACCAGCGGCTATCTCAAAACTCACGATAAAACTAAGACTCCAAACCCTAACACACACATATATAGGGAAGGACTAGAATAGAAGGAATAATAAAAGGAAACCTGCTAGATTGGAAAGAAATTGAAAGAGGCATCGTTCTGTTCGGCTTTGCCTTGCACGCAAAACCCTGGTGCCACGTATCGTCGCGTGAAATCCTAACTTTTGGACGAAAGAGAAGATGCTCTCGTGTTAGTTTCAGAGTTGGGTGGGCTTTGACCTCATCTGTTGAAGCTTGTGTCTCCTCATAGTATGACGTCAGGTGGGCTCAATTTAAGAGGGCGGTGTTGTTATCTCCTGGTTTTGAAGGCTCGTTGACTACGGCCCAAGAAGCACCTGGATCCCACCGACGATTGCATTATCCCCAAAACATCTGAGAAACTTCCTCCACTTTCGTACATACATTCATATCGGTCCAACCTACTGTGGGTACATTGATGAACCTAACTGAGACTTTGTATTGCGTATATTCTGTTGAATACTCCCAAAGTAACCCAAAGTTGAATTAACCTGATCAAAAGTGAGGGCAGCTTGAACTTCCCCGAATGGTGTTTGTCAATGCAGTAAGGTATCAATCAAGATATCTTGAAATAGTCTTTGTAGTGGTTGCCCCGTGTCTAAAATCAGTGCCTCAATCTTGTCATCTTCAATCGTCACCAAAACTGATCCCACCGATGCTTCTCTACTGCAAGGGCACCTATGATCTCAAACTCCGTAAAAGGCAGGAGGATAACGTGTTTGCCATCCTTAGGAAAGGAAGTGTTCCTGAACCTATTGAACTGAGTCCTATGGTCAAACTGTCATGGTCTCCCCAACAAAAAGTGACAGGTGTCTATGGGCACCACTTCGCATCACATTTGATCCGACAACTAGTTGCCAATCGAAAGCTCCACAAGACGCATGTTAATGCTAACCTTGTTCTTCTTCAACCACGTTGGGGAATACGACTAGAAATGCTTATGAGTCGTAAGTCATTTATTCACCATCTGTGTGGATACTACATTCTTGTTGCACTCTATCAATGACGAGACTATATATCTTTCCTTTCACGGTACAACGAGTTTAAAATATGTTGTGGCAAAGCCACTGCTGATACCTCGTAGCCTCAGTCCGTAAGACCCATCGAACCACAAGGATCTTGCCAACATCCGGTGAAAGATGGTACTCATCTTATTTTTCAGCGGCTTCTTCATCGCTAACTTTGTCCACTGCACCATGCTTGGTGAATGACACAACTCGGCTTGTCGAGAAACTGGAAGCGACATGTCCAAAAACATGGCATATAAAGCATTTTCTGACGAGAACTGCAGTGAGCATGCTACTCCTCTTAAGCTTCTTCTCACACTGAGTAGCGCTATCCTGCTCCTAACCAGTCTGCGTCACTCCTTGCGGAGTGCTCCTCCTGAGTTCTCCCATTACGAGTGGCTTTCTAAGTGGCAGTGGTTATCCTCTCTGCTTATGCAAACTCTCCAATTTTAAGTGTTAAAGTCTGCACATCCCTCTGTGTCCAATAGGTTTACAGTTGGACCACAATACTAATAGCGGGTTTCAGGCCTCCCAAGTACCTAACTATGGTGACTCTTTCAACTCACACATCAATTTAAGCTACAAACATTTCGTTGTATGTTACTCAACTGAAAACTCCTTTTGTTGAAGGTAGAACATCAAGAAAATATCCTGACAATAGTGCAGGGTAGGTACTATCGTTGCATTGTCTTCTTTATTTTCTCCTAAGTGATTATTTCATGTTCTTCACACTTTGTCTCTCACTCTTCATATTCTCCCACCACAAAAAGGCATTCTTCTTCAGCTTGATGGCGAAGAGTTTCACACTTCTGTCGTAAGGCACCTCCTTGTATTCAAAGATCAGTTCAACAGTTTGCATACACTAGAGGATATTACCTGGACCCATTCTCCCTTCGAAGTCTCCTCACTTTCTCTCTCGAGTCTCGGTATCCTCCAACAAGAATTTCACCTTTGTATCTTTCAATTAGCATTGCAACTATGTATCTTCCAACATGCACTTTATCTTTGTATCTTCCAATAGGCACATCATCTCTCGGTCTCCTCTAAATATTATAACCCAAAGCGCCCTGGGAGATCATCTTCTCCATTGAAATCATTTCTACGAAAGGGATTCAAATGGTGTTCTTGCTCTCCACGGTTTTATTATTTCATGGTCAAAGATGATTAAAAAAATGATCTTAATTTATTAGAACTAAATGAATCTATGACACTAAATAGGACACAATGGAGAAAATCATGTTGTCGACCCCACGTAATGGGATTAAAGCTTTGTTGTTGCTGTTGTTGTTGTATGGTCAACGGTGATCCCGCCCCAGGTTCTTTTCGTAATGACATCCAGCCGATGTAGCACTTGGCAGAGTAGCCACCATATGTCATCCATGAGAGATTCCTGATTAGATTTTGGCAATTGTCTCATCGGGGGTGTGGTTGGGGTTTTGGGAGTATGTATGTGGAAGGTGTGTAGGGTGGAAGGGAAAAAAAAATGTGGGGGTGATATGGGTAGGACTACTAGACGTCGTAGAATAGAACTGGGGTTATGCTAGCTCTGATATCAAACGATACTAGAGTTAACCCAAATAATCAATAGGAAATCAAATGTTATTACTAAAAGCAAATATGCGATTACAACCCAAACACACTTGAAAGAAAAAAATGATAATAAACACAATACACGAACACCCGCAAGAGTGGATCTCTAGGCGGTGGTGGTGGCCGTTATGGGTTTGGAAATGTGGCGGCAAGGTAGAAGAGGGGTAGGATTGTGGGAAAACATCAACACAACAATGGTGGTTTATTGTCCTAGGCGGCAGCATCAAGAAAAAAGCAGAAACAACAAGAGTACAGAAGACAACCGGAGGGACCTTGCTGTTTGGGTGGCAGCAGCAAGGTAAGCGGGTGGACAGCAAGGAACGACAGGTCAAACACCAGCAGTTTGCTATTTGGGGGTGACAGCTGCGAGGGGGGGCAGCTGGAAGGGTTGACAACTGACAGGAATGGTGGGGACAGCAAGGTAACAGCAATAGCAAGCGATAGGGACGGCAGGGGGTGCCTGAATGGGCGAGGACAGCAACTACTCGCTGTCCGGGATGGCGGCAAGCCGAGATGCGGGAGGCTGGAAGATAGGTAAACAGCTGGGAAACGGCAACAGGCGGCTGTTGGGAGGCGGCTGCAGGAATGGAAGCTGCCCAGAAGCAATGTGGGGAGGATACGAAAGGGGATAAAGAAGAAAATCATCACCTCTGGAGTGAGATACAACCAGAGCACCACTCAAACTCTCAGATGCAGCCCTCGCTAGAAAAGGACAGATGCCGGTGGCTATCTCGAACAAGACTCACGATCAAAATAAGAATCCAAACCCAAATACACACATAAATAGGAAATGAATAAAAGGAAGAAATCGATAAAAAGAAACGTGCTAAAAATTAGAAAGAGGTTGGAAGAGGGATCACTCGGTCCGGCCTTGCCCTGTACGTGCGACCTGGCTCTAATGTATCGTCGCAGGAAATCCTGTGTCCCTCTTTTGGACAAAACGGGAGACACTACCACATCAGTTATAAATGTAAATATCAAATTTTAGGTGTTAGATATATAAATACAAGAAGTGTGTGGTATGTATGTAAATTTCCCTTTATTTAATTGTTTCAAAAGTATCAAAAGAACCCTGAAAATGGATATCTTAGAGAATATGTATCATAAGGTAAAACATGGTAATTCAGAAATAGAAAAATTTTATGAACACATTTTATTCTAACCTGGTATGAGCAAGATGGTTATTGCAAGGCCAGAAATAAATGCATAACCGACTTGTGTATATAAAAGGTACAATGCCACACCAATCTGTAATGGCAAACTGTGGGAAGGTAAAGAGTTAGTTCCATAAACGTGCAAATAGAAATAAAAACCAGTTGCAATAGCATAAAAAGAGGCAGTAAGTTCAATTACAGGAACAAAGAAAAAATAAACAAGCAGAAAAAAGAACGAGGTTATTCTCAGTATAGTACAATTCCATCATAATTTTTAAATTGTTTCTGAAAATCATTTTATTAGCGTTATCCTGGCTTAAACAAATATAATTTGTATACAAATTAGGATAAAAATGAACTTTAGATTTCAAGATGGACGGCATATTCTAATAATAATTTGTTACCTTACACAATGAGGGCAATATTTTCTACAATGTTCTTGCGCTGTTGAGCTAAAAAATAATTAGATTTTATCGAGAAATAATCAATTTAAATTCAAGAAAAAGATGCTCGCAGCTAGAGTATTCTACCTCTACAACGAAATATCTGCATAAATAAATTATTTTTTGGCCGAATTCAGCCTATACTTCCCCATATTGTGATACCGGATTTAACCCAGATCACAATAGAAACGAAAATATTATTGCTAGAATTCAAAATATGTCACAACGACGATTCTTCAAAACAGAAAATAAACGATATATAATATAAAAAGATACCCTAGAGCAACAACAACAGGGACGGGGGTGATTGGCGACTAGCCATCAGGTAGATATGCTGGGCAGAGGTGGTGGTGACAACCGATTGTTAGAAAGGCGGTTTTAGCCGATAAGTGGAAGGCTGGGAAATCGTTGCAGTGGCTGTTGGGGAACTTGGATTGGTTGGTGGCAACCCAGGAGGGTCTAGTAGGGCAGCTGGAGATATGAAATGGGACGTGGCAACAGTAGGTGAGAGGGATTGATGGCCGCAATAGTAGGGTTTTGGGATGGGTATAAAACAGCAACAGGGAGGCATGGAGATGAATTGCGACAGCAGGAGGTGTTTTACGAGTAATGGTAGTGAACCGGGGAGAGGGAAGGTGGGCAGAAACAACAAGGAGGGAATAATTGGCGACCCACAACAAGGCTAGGGAGGTTGCAGGGGGGTTGGGAAGGATAAATATTCCCATGGGACCAAGTTACAGCCGGAGCACTACTCAGACCATTGGAGACGATCACCACCTAAGACAAGCTATAGCCCAAGCACCTTCTTGCCAACGAATACAACCCTAGACGGGGACAAAAGTCGTCGATGACAAGCTAAACAAAAGATCTCCAAAGCAAAAACTAAACCCTAAGACGAGGAAAATACATCTATATAGTAGATAAGTAAGAGTGGGAGACCCCTTCGCTTGGGCGACAACCCTAACCCAAACCATATGGGTCGGTTGACCCATCCCTTCACTAGGCAGAACTAGTTCATCTAGTTCATCCACACCCCCTCCCTCACGCGTCAGTCTCCCATGATTGGGAAACTTCAACCTCATTTATCAAGGCTTCTGACAACCCGTTGCCCAGTGTTGGCGTTGTTGTAGCCTCTTAGGTTTGAAGGTTCTTCTACTGCGGTCCGAGAATCACCTGGATCCCACTGGCAACTAAACCATCCCCCAAGGCACCCGAGGATTTTCCTTCGCTTGCGAGCATACATCTATATTGATCCGCTCTGTTGTGGGTCTACTACTGAACTGAATTGAGTCTATGTGTCTCGCATATACTGTTGAATCCTCCCAAAGTAATCCACATCGACTTAACTTGAACTTAAGTGAGGGCAATCCAAACCTCCTTGAACAGTGGTGGCCATGGTGGTAAGATATCGATCGTGATGTCCTGAAATGCTCTCTGTCATGATTGTCCCGTGTCTAGAGTTGGTGTCTTAGTCACATCATTCTCTATTGCCACCAAAACTAGTCCCACCGACGTTGCTCTGCTGGCAAGGGTACCTGTAATCTCGGGCTCCGCCGAAGGAAGGAGGATGTGCTCGTGCTGAGGTCTACGGTCAAATTGCCACGATCTCCCTAATAAAAGGTGACAGACATTTATGGGTACCACATCGCACCACACCTGATTCTACAGCTGGTTCTCACTCGAATACTCCACTGAGCGCATCCTGTTAATGTCGACCATGTTCCCCTTCTTCAACCATATCAGAGAATAAATCTGAGATTTCCTTTGAGCCATTAGACTCAATTTCTCCATCATCTGCATAGACTCCGCATTATGTTGCTTTCTTCAACGATGATGAGATTGCATACCTTCTCGCTCACAGTGCAACGGGTATAGAATACGTTGCAAAGCCATCATTTCCTAAGTTTTCAGGGCTCGTCAAATCAAGAACATCTCACCCTCATCAAGTGGAAAATGATAAACCCCTATTCCCCAACGACCTCCTTGTCACTACCTCCTCCACAAAACCCTCCTCAAAAAAAAAATGACTCGACTCATCGGGCAGCTGGAGGCGAAGTGTCCAAATCCATGGCATCTAAAACATTTTAGGACTGAAACTGCAGTAAGCATGCTACTCTTGATACCGGAGTTAACACAAACAACAATAGAAATCAAAATATTATTATTGAATACAATTAAGAGTACAACGACAACACTTCAAATATAAAATAAGTGATAGGGTGGTGGAAGCCAACTAGGTGGATCGGGATGGTTGAAGGGGGTGGCGGCAACAAAAGAATGTTGGTGGCAGTGTGGGGGAAGTGCATAAATGTAGGGACAACAAGTGTAAATGAATCTAGCAGAGCTCGAGCCACCCTCGACTTGAGCTTGAGCTTATTTGTTGAAGATTTCGGGTTTCTTGTAGCACGGAGTCAATTCTGTCACGTTGATGGCAGCAGAGGTATTACAATCCCTTGGGAGGTAAATCATATAGGTGGTGTCATTCCACCACATGTTTTGATAAAATAAATATGCATCCTCTCTTGGCACATCATAAGCTGAAGTTGCATATATTTATGTAGGTTCCTGTAATGAGGATGACTATGCTAATTTATTTGCTCGTAGAACCGTTCGTTTTGAGGATGTTTTAATGAAAGTCCTAAAATGGACTACTGATTTCGACCCCCAAGCCGAGCTTCCTATTATTCCTGTTTGGCTTCGTCTACCAGGTTTGAAAGTGCATTTGTTTAGATTTTATTCTCTCTGGCAGCTATGTTTGGCAAACCACTGATGTTAGATGCTCCGACTTCTAATTTAACAAGGCCCTACATGGGCAGAATTTTAATTGAGAGAGATGTCACTTTACCACCCCCAGAAGAGGTTTGGATAGACTCTACACATATTAGTTACTGGCAACAGGTTTTTCTTGAAAAGCATTCTCACTACTGTTCCCATTGTCGCATGTTTGGACATGATTTTGTGCAATGCATTCACCTACATCCAGAGTTAAGAAAAAGAAACACAGGTTATTTGACCTATATTGAAAATAAGATTGTCCAGAGGCCGCCTCCAGTGATAAAACAAAATGTCCCTTCGGAGGGAAATAATGCTGTGCAAAACTGTGCCGTAGAGCATACTGGTCCACCAACTATTGAGAGTATTAATACAAGAGTGGATCTGATTTTTGACTCACAATGCCCACATCTTCCCACATCATCTCAAAATTTGTCATCTTCATTTACTGGCTCTGATTTAACAGTTGAGCATGTTAATGAATTACCTGTAGCCAATACTTCCTTTGGGGGATTACCTGCAGAGGAAGCTCCCCAAAACATTCTAAATAGCCGGTGTCATCCCTCTCTTTGGTTGACCCTCCTACTGAACTGAAAATTTTCTCTGCTCTCAAATATATTCACTCCCAGAAGGCTCTTGGTCCTGATGGTTTTACTTCTGCTTTCTATATTTCTTGTCGGGACATCATAAAGAATGATGTAATTCTAGTTATTCAAAGTTTTTTTCAAGGTGAAGATCCAAGTAAATATTTCATTGCTGCCCTGATTGTGTTAATTCCTAAAACTACTGATAAATCGCACTGGAAGAATTTTAGACCTATCTCCCTAACTTCTGTGGTATCCAAGACCATAAGTAAATTGATTGTGGCTCGTTTACAACCTCACATTTCCCCCTTATTTCCCCCATCAATTGGCTTTTGTTAAAGACCGAGATATTTCTGATAATATTTTGTTAGCCGAAGAAATTATTGAAGATCTTAACAAAAAATGCAGGGATGACAATTTGGTTATCAAACTGGATATTAAAAAGGCCTTTGATACAATCAGCTGGGACTTTATCATCAATGTCTTGGTGGCTAGAGTTTTCAGTGCTAGTTTTTGCATGTTAATTAAAAGATGGTTGTCCAAACACCATTACAGTGTGCTTGTTAAGGGTAATTCCTATGGATTTTTCTCTGCTAAAAGGGGTATTAAGCAGGGGGACCTCTCTCCCCTACCATTTTCATCATTGCTTGTGATTATTTATCTAGATTATTCAATTGTTTTCAATTGCTTCACCCTCACACACAATTCTCACACAAGGCTAAGACTATGATTTCCCACTTAGCCTATGCTGATGATGCTATCATTTTTGCTAATGCATCCAAACTTGTTATTAAAAGATTAATGATGCTCTTAAATGAGTTACATAATTGCTCTGGTTTGGTTTTTAATTGTGACCTATGTCAGCTTTATTTTGGCAAGCATGTCAAACACTCTAATGCAAATTGGGGGTCTTCCTTCACTGGTTATCAGCACATCTCCCTCCCTTTAAAGTATCTTGGGGTGAATCTGATTAGGGGTAGGAAAAAGCAGATTCACATGGATGATGTTATTGATAAAATTAAGCATAAGATAAATGACTGGAAGAATGTCTTCCTTTATACTGGGGGTAGGCTAACTTTACTTTCTAGTGTACTACAAATTATACCACTCTAAGCTTTACAAGTGTTCAATCCTAAGAAGAGTGCCATGAAGGTTCTGGAGAGGTTCTTTAACAGATTCCTGTGGGTTGCGAGTGGTGCTAAGAAGATTTGGGTTTCCTGGCATAATATTTGTAAACCCAAAAAAGCTGAGGGTTTTGGTTTTAAGACTTTGCAGCTGACTGTTGAGGTTAACATGTGCAAACTTTGG